TTGATCTCTCATGATCTTATTAGACCCACTTTGAATGATTAATTTTGATTCTACTCCAAATTAAGTTGATTTGAATTGAAATGAAATGTGAATTTATGCCGAAAGTATGTAACTTCATAATCAAATTCAGACTGAAGTTGAATTCAATTGGAATTGAATTCAAATTACTTACTGATTTATGTAATTCACAAATTAAATTAAATTTATTTATTTTAGATATTTAATACGGACTTAACATGAGATCTTAATTAAAGGATGAAGATTAACTACCTGTAAAGAGATGAGATTGAATATTTGATATCTTGAATTAAATTCAAATTATTCTATCAATTAATATAAACAAACGTTCTCCCCAATGGCCGTTGATCATTAATGAAATAACCTTGGGTTAATTGCAAATTGCATCCTGAAATATCGTTCAAATTTGAATTTGCATCTTCAAATATCAAAAATCTTAATTTACACCCTCAAAAATATAAATTTGTATAAATGTGCATACCAAAAGATCAAAAATTTTAATTTATACCCTCAAATATAGAAATTTGTATCAATGTGCACCCCCAAAGATCAAAAATCTCAATTTACACTCTCAAAGATAGAAATTTGTATCAATGTGCACTTAAAACTAAATTGATAAAATATACCTAGATCCCTTTATGCTTGTCACTAAATCATTCGGACCCCTTTACATTTAAAATATTACTTCTACATCTCATGATGTTTGTGCACGTGTAACACGTAACCCCTTTTCGTTGATATCTGTTAATATAACTATTAAAAATATGATTTTACTATAATAAAAAATTATAATTTTATATTACCCTTTATTTTATGGGTTCAATATACTCTAAAGTTTAAAATCAAACTTATCATTTGAATGTCTAATAGAATAAAGGGTTGCACATTTAGTGATATATTTCATTGGATATAAAAAATATTATATAAATATCTACATTTTATTGGACATTCAAATGATAAACTTTATTTTGAACTTTAAAGTATATCGGACCCACAAAATAAAGGATAAAATGAAATTATAATTTTTTATTAGGATAAAATTATATTTTTTTTAAGTTTATATTAACATATATCAACAAAAATTGGTTATGTGTTACACGTGCACAAACAACGCAATGAGATGTAGGAGTAATATTTTAAATGTGAAGAGATCCAAATAATTAAGTGACAAACATAAGGGGAACTAGGTAATTTATCAATTTAGTTTTAGACGCACATTGATACACATTGCTATCTTTAAGGGTGTAAATTGAGAATATTTATTTTTGAAGGTGCACATTGATATAAATTTCTATATTTGAGGGTATAAATTAAAATTTTTGATCTTTGAGGTACACATTGATACAAATTTATATTTTGAAGGTACAAATTGAGACTTTTAATCTTTAAAAGTCTAAATTAAGATTCGAACAGAGTGTAATTTACAATTAACCCAATAAGCATCGCTAACTTTTTTTTTTTTTTTGTGGGATCAAAGTGAAACAGTAACTTACCTTAAAAAGCAGAGCACTGTAGTCCATAGCAATGGCATGGCTGACAGTGTAGTGCGTATTTACTGAAGCGGCTGAAATGCAACACGTGGGACCCCGTTTTTAAAGTTAAAATCTCCAGTTAATATTCATTCCGGAATTATCAACGGTACCAAAAAAAAATTAAAAAAAAGTATCAGATTGACATTTATCATGTTTATAAGTATTCTTATTATTATTGTGGTATAAAATAAAATAAAAATAGTTATTACAACAATAATAAATAAAAACATCCATAAAGAGTGATAATTGTTTTATTAAATAAAATAATAAAAATAATTATCACAATAATAATAAAAATTTGTTGTAAAAAAACTTATGAAAGTTATAAAAATATTTATTAAAATAATATACATATATTTTTTAAAAAAATATTTAAAATTGTGTTAACTACTCTTTCGACCTCGACCTGAATTAAGTTAGAGCATATGAAAATGGTTACACTATTGAAGGTGTGAGAAAAATTTAAATTTGAAACTTTTATATTACCGATGTGAAGCTCAACGAATGAATCATTATAAAGTATCAATTTTTTTTCCGGTATTCAAGTCTATTCCAGGCGTCGCTATTATGTTGAGTGCAGACAACGTCAGTTTTCTCCATACGCTCCCTGTCTGTCTCCACATAGTTAGCGATTTTCGACAAAAATTGTGCTATTTTCTGATTTTTTTTTTTTTGCTGGTCACGTGTCGTAGAAAGGAAATTTTCTGATAAAAAGTGTACTTTGTCTATTTTTAGCTTCAAGCCCCGAATTTTTTTTTTTAATGTCATATTTTTGTTTAATAAAAATATGTCAATTATAAAATTATTATTAATAACTCATACCAAAAAGCGAGTATTAATTATATAATATTTATATTTTAAATAATAAATTATTGATGATGCACTAATTAATATCGTTCAAGATCAACAGTCGATTATATAAAGATATGTAATTAATAAGCAATAAATAAGATAATTAATAGTAAAACAGTAAATATGGAGTCAACATACAAATACATAGTGGTTCTCTTCGAGTGACATACTTTACTCTCGAGAAACTACAGCGATGACCGAAGGTGTTTTATTAATAAATAAAGTAATCGGGAGAATATACTGCAGGAAAATTATAATACTTTGGGAGAAAGAGAGAGACTTGGTATGTAGAGGTCTCAAAGGTGATGCCCTCTATGTGGAGAGGACTTAGATTATATAGGTATGGTGAGACGATGACGTGATGAATAGGGCACTATTCCTTTTGATAAGTACAATCAAGATAAAAATGGATTTCCATAAGTGCACATCCCGATAGCTTCACCCACGTGCTCCTATCTCTCCAAATTTTTTGGATCTTGAATTGGGTCGACATACAATGTGGGCCTGGGCCACCTTTTAGTTAACTTAGGGCTTCTTGATTTATTAAACCTGACTCAATTGATTTTGGACTCATTAATTATTTAATTTTTAATTATATAAATTAAAATTAACTAAATAAAAAAATAAAATAGAGGTACAGTGAAAAAAGAAAGAGGCATGTGTAGAATAATAGGGTGGGGTTGTTTGACGTTGGTGAGTTATTTGACATTAGAAGTCATATAGACAATATAATATTTTTAAGCGAAAAAAATATATTAGGATGAATTTTATAGTGTTGGCAAAAATGACTAGGAAAATCCCAAATGATAACTCAAGTGATAACAACAAAGAGTTGTAAATCTATAAGTTATAAATTCGAATATTGACAACTTCTTAAGGTCAAGTGATCTCATTAATACTCTAATCTTGACGTGGATAAAATACAAGATCAAACATGAGACAAAAATATTATGCATTACAATCCAGTATACAATTAAGAGTTGGATAATATAATACTAACTACATATTCATAAAAAAATTATCAATTTTATCTAGTTATTAATATTTTTTTTAGTGGATAAAATAATAAATTTATAACTTAATATGATTAAACTGGACCCATGTGATATTATAATTGATTCAATAGTACAAATAAAATATCTTATTTGAATAAGTATTTAAAATAAGACTATATATAATAAATACAAAGCATTTTTTACAACCAAATATAATATAAGATTAAATTAAATTTTTTTAATCTATTATGATTCTTTAATTTACTATTTAATACCATAATCAAACAATTCAAAAAGAGGTTGTTGAGTTATTTGAGCGGGTATGTGTTTTGATTTTTAGAGCAACTCTAACTCAATTATCTATTTTACCTATTCAAAATATTTTAAATACTATATTCTCTATTTTAGAGAGTTACTTTTATAAATTCACTCAAATTACGCTCTATATTTTAACAAACCATTGTATATGACTTTAAATAATTTAAAGGAGATTGCAACACATTGAGAGATGGAGAGAGAATTTGGAGAGACAATTTTTTTTAATTTTGTTGGGTCAATGGAGAGGCTGAATAGCTCTTTACATTTGGAGATTCATTTGGGGTGAAATAGAAAATAGTGAGTAAATTAAAGGGTTTTTGTAGTGTTTGATTAACTAAAATAGTTAAAAAAAAATTAAAATAAGGAGTGGTTGGAGTTGCCAGTGCTGCGGTAGTTCAAATCTTGCCAAAGCCTTCAACATTTATATTTTGTAGAAGTAGGTAAAAATCGGATGAGTCGTTAGATAGACTTAAAAATTAGACTTGATAATTTCAACTATTTAATAAATAATAAATTTTAATAAATACTGAAACTCAGAGTAAAATCAATGATTAAAATTATCAAATATAATTTTTAAATTTATGTATCATTGCTAAAATCGGATACTGCCGAGTCTTACCATTATCAATTTGTACGAAGCGGCGGTCACAGTTATTCCCGCTCAATATATGCTTAGTATTCAAATAACAACTACTCTCTGTTAAGCGCGGGCCACTTCTATCCCCACGTTTAAAAATTCCAAACCCCTTCACGTCACCGCCAACCGCCACGTCACCTTCTCCGTTGAAATTATTATCTCTTTTTTTAATCCTTCACGCCCTTAAAGAAATCAACTTAATTTATTTAATTTCATTCTTCATTTATTTTTCTTGGTAATTCTTCCGTCGTTCTCAGTACCTCCTTCCACTCACCGTCATTGGTGTCTCTCTCTCTCTATACTCTGCAACACTCCATTGTCTTCAAAGAAGGAGAGACTAAAAGTCCTCCTCTCTCTTTCTCTCTACATACTATCCACATCGTTCATATATATATACGGCTCTCGCTGTACTGACTGAAGCTTCTCTCTCACTAGGCGTTTGCTTAAAGCGTCAAACCAATTAAAAATCAAACAATGTTCTTCGCTTTAGTGACTCAGACCATGTGACCTCTGACATATTCTTGCTTCTTCTCCTTCTCCTTCTATTTTCTATCTCTCTCTCTCTGTATATAATATATATAGACGCGCACATATATTCAGTTTTGAACTGTTTTTGGTTAATCGGTTGGTAGCAGCTTGAATCGTGCAATGGCGGCCTCTTCGTCGAGAGGACGAAGTAGTTCACCATTCAGCTACCGAAAGCAATCGAGTCCGTACTCGTCATCGTCGTCGACATCTTCTTTCATGAACGGTAGAATCATGCCTCGCTCTTGCTCGACCTCAGCGACGTCGTTTTACGGCTCAGGCAATGGGTACAGCTCCAGATCCATGACTCCGAGTCGTAATCGGGGCGATTCTGTGTACTCCCGGGGCTACGGAAGCCGTACACCAGTTAATTTTCCGACAGCCGATGAGTTGATTAGTGAACCAGTGGATACATCGAAATCGGGGGATAGCATTTCGGTGACGGTTCGGTTTCGGCCTCTGAGGTAAATGCCAGATCTGACTGAATAAGACTTAGATCTGTTGGCTTTCGAATATGCAGAGTTGGATTTTTCAATGCTAGTGTTGCCGTTTGGGGCAATGCTGTTTAAAATTGAAACTGAATTTTTGGTTGTAGTGAACGGGAATATCAGAAAGGAGATGAGATTTCGTGGTATGCGGATGGGGAAAAAATTGTGCGGAATGAGTATAATCCGGCCACTGCTTATGCATTTGGTACAATTCTATGCCTTTTAAGTTAGCATTTCAAATCTTCTTGTTATGATTTTGCTCAGTATGAACTTTTTCAAAATTAAGTATCGAGTTTAAAATCGCAGTAGTGTGGCTTTAAATAATGTTTTAGTGATGAGTTTGCAATTTACAATGGCTTAATTTGGTCAATTTTTTTTTTCATTTTTTTGCTTGTACAATGACAGATAGAGTTTTTGGACAAAATACAAATACTCAGGAAGTTTATGAAGTAGCTGCTCGACCTGTAGTAAAGGCTGCAATGGAAGGTGTTAATGGTATGATACCTTAGTAATCACTATCAATATTCCAACACGCTAAACCAAATGGAAAGTGTTGGTGGTTACTTTATGTAATTGTTGATTAGATGCTACGGCACTTTGTTTATGGCTAGTTATGCGCATGAACTATTGAACTTAGTTTAGTATTGCAGTTTAATAGTTCAGCTCAGTGACAAAATGGATCTATTCAATTGCACTCTGTAATTTTTTAAGCTAACATATGTCTGCTGATAATGCAGGAACTGTTTTTGCTTATGGTGTTACAAGTAGTGGGAAAACACACACTATGCATGTAAGTATATTACTACACTTTGATGTATTTGCTTTTATTGCTGATAGCCTGATACTTAGATAGATAATGTAGAGATAGTAAGTATGAGTAACTGTGTATACCACATTCCAGATATCCATACACTAAATTCACCAACATTCCAGGGGATTCCTTTGAGCATTATTGTTTCACTTACTCTAGTCTGTACGAATGGATGCAAGCTATAGAACTTCTAGTGGCCTCATGTTCAGATCTTTCTGCGGGGCAGGCTGCCCTATTGAAAGGTAGGCAGAATTGAAAAACACCGAGGCCATTCAACAATAGAGTTACCCAAATATTTATGATGAGGAAGAGTTGAAAAATCTGACACTTCCCATAGTTGAAAAATGTCACTGAAGTTGATTTCTGTTGTTAAGTTTTTGTTTCTTAACACACAATATATTTTTGTTTTTTATTCTGGATAATATTCATATATTACTGCATATGATTCCTTCACTTTCTTATTTCTTGGTTTTCCTATCCCAAATTTTATGTTTATGATATTTCATGCGCACAATCTGTTCATATGTTGACATGTGAATTTTTTTAATTAACTTATTCTTGACTTTTTCAAATGAATATTCCTCCAGGGAGATCAGAATTCTCCAGGTATAATACCATTGGCTATAAAGGATGTTTTCAGCATTATTCAAGATGTAAGTTTCTTTAGAAAACTTATAAGGCTTTGAATTGTAATACTGTTAATTAAACAGTTTTCCTTGTCCATTCCATTTTATTAGTTATAAATATCATGATGGCACCAATGCATTGAAGTTTTTCACCTGATGTCATTATATCTTTGATGCTATTTCTTCTTCTATTGCATGTCTTTCATTTGTTATGGCTCATTCATGGTTAAAATATGGTTGACTATTTGTGTTGGTGCTTCAGACTCCAGGAAGGGAGTTCTTGCTTCGTGTGTCATATCTTGAAATCTATAATGAGGTGAGTAATACCTTGCATGAGATTATTCTGTCAGAAAGGACCAACATTTCTATTTTTGCATTCTGATAAGCATGCCATTATGAGCGGTTACTTCACATGTATTCAATGGTGGAGTTTTTATTTGTTCATATGGATTCAATATCCTTCTCTGAGCTTGTGCCAGTTGACATAGTGTGAAGTTGAGCATTTATCATTAAATAGCCTGCATTATTTATGGTCACATGAGGGAAGGTTCTCTGATCTCAGTGCCTTCTGTGCTTTTGATATCAGGTCATAAATGATCTGCTTGATCCGACTGGTCAAAATTTGCGCGTTAGAGAAGATGCCCAGGTTTCTTCAGCAATTTACTGCAAATTCTTTTGTTTTTACTTTGTGTTTGTCCTATTTTCTTGTTCAACCAATTTCTTCTAAAGGAGACATGTCTAATGCTCCTTTGTTCAATTCACGATAAGATTGTGTCTCACTGGTAGTTCTCAAGTATTATCTTTTCTTTATTCAGCTCTAGTCTCTCCCACAATTCTGGATTACAAATGTTAAAGTTTACGGCTTTTTTCCGTGGGCAGTCTGTTCTTTTCTTGTATAAAAAACTATTGTTGCTGAGTTTCATAGCTGATGGTCTTATTTATTCTAGTAATGTATTCACAGGGTACATATGTGGAGGGTATAAAGGAAGAAGTTGTTCTGTCTCCTGGACATGCCCTTTCTTTTATTGCTGCTGGGGAAGGTATTAACTGGGATTTGTCCCCCTTATTGGTTAAGATCTTGTTACTGGTTTTAACAATTGTTCTATGATAGCAGAGCACCGTCATGTTGGTTCGAATAACTTCAATCTGCTGAGTAGTCGTAGCCACACAATATTTACGCTGGTATGTAATTCATTTCTTGTGTGCAATGTAGATTAATTGCCTTCTAGACATTTTCTTGTGATCATCAACCTTAATGTTCTTGATTTTTGCCATTGATAACCAATGCTACATTGTGATTATTCTTTTAGCGTAACAATTGTCCTTGTGTTCAATTTCCTATATTATCCCTTTTCTAACCATCAGCGTCTTTGCAGATGGTCGAGAGTAGTGACCATGGTGATGAGTACGATGGAGTGATCTTTTCTCAACTTGTAGGTTTACAGTCCTTCATAACTATCAGAATAGAAATATCCATCTCAGTTCTAGATTATCTCACTGCCTTGTTTTGTTTCTCTGATATAGAATTTAATTGATTTAGCTGGATCTGAGAGCTCAAAAACCGAAACTACTGGACTAAGGAGAAAAGAAGGATCATACATAAATAAAAGTCTTCTTACTCTTGGAACTGTAAGTGCCTTAGGATCGCTGTTACTAATTTAGTTGCATAATTTTCAACTTGATTTCTCTCCCTCGTTGACCCCGGCCCGGTGTGGGGCCAAAACCACTTGCACCAAACAATTGAAGCCGCAAGGTTATCTTCGGCAATTCTTGTCAAGTTTTGTACGTTGTACACTTGAACTCGATCTCTAAAAGTTTGTGTTGGTGGCAAGGTGACTTCATAGAAAGATAACAATATACTTTTTACTCTTATCAGACTTTGAAAATGCTCACATCAGCTTGTTCTTTTACATTGTGATGGTTTCAAATTTTGATTTTTCAGGGTTCCAAAATTTTTAAAGATCTCTTATTAGGACTTCTGTTGTTAACTACTCTACTTTAATTGCAATGTGAAGGTAATTGGAAAACTAAGTGAGGGGAAGGCATCTCATGTTCCATATCGAGACTCTAAGCTTACCCGCCTGCTGCAGTCTTCACTTGGTGGCCATGGACATGTTTCGGTAAGTGTGACAAGCAGCCTGAATTATTTTAATCATTACCTGGCATTCATATTAGTTTATTTGTATCCAAAAGTTATGTACTCCTTGGTGTATAACTGCCATGTTGTGTGATAAGCACGTACATACTCATCTTTTTCTGGCATACAATGCAGTTGTTGACAGGAGGAATCATACTAAACATTGACTTCTCTGTTCCTTTTTTTTTTTGTTTGTCTCAGCTTATATGCACAGTTACACCTGCATCTAGTAATATGGAGGAAACTCATAACACCTTAAAATTCGCAAGCAGGGCAAAGCGCGTTGAAATCTATGCATCGCGTAATAAGGTTTGCTGTTTGACAAATGCTATGATATCTGCAGAAGAGTTTGCAATAATGATCAATTGATACTAATTTTTATTCTGCTGGTTAAACTGAATTTTCCCCAGATTATTGATGAAAAATCATTGATTAAGAAGTATCAAAGAGAAATATCAATTCTCAAACAAGAACTTGATCAGCTAAAGAAGGGGATGGTTGGTGCTGTCAATCATGAGGAAATTATGAGCTTAAGACAAAAGGTTTTTTCTGTGAATTCCTTTGGTTTTCTGTTTGATGGTGAGATTGGTTTCCCCTGTAAACATTTGGAGGGCAACTCTGTTTAGTTGAAACATATCAATTATTTTTCATATTCTTGGTATGCAACCTTCTACTCTCTTTGAAACCTGGCAGCACAAGTCTACCTTCTCATGTTATGTTCATCCTTTCTTTTCATTTAATAGTTGGAAGAAGGACATGTGAAAATGCAATCAAGATTGGAGGAAGAGGAAGAAGCTAAGGCTGCTCTAATGAGTCGAATCCAAAGGCTAACCAAGCTAATACTCGTTTCTTCAAAGAATACAATACCTGGATATTTGAGTGATGCACCCAGTCATCAACACAGTCATTCTGTCAGTGAGGATGGTGTATGTCCAATCATGATCTTAGCTGTTGTTACATTTGCCTTTTTGTACTGTTGTTGCTTGAGCATTTGAACATGGATTTTAACTGGATAAAAAATGACCAGCTATTACTACTGTTTAATTTGATGTGTGAAAGGATACAGGCTTTTGAACAATTTTTGCACGCATTGCCCCCAAACTATTTTAAAAACTTCAGGCTTAAATATTGCTTGTCATCATCAAAAGCTTCCCGGGATTCACTGCAGAAACTATTTTTTTATTAGAATCTTGCATTTGTATTTCCATCTAGAAAACCTGAATGTTATGTCAATCACTTATGCTATGATTTTTTTTCAGAAGTTGGATGTTTTGCGTGATGGTTCTTTGCTCATGGACAGCGAGAATCAGAAAGACTCTCCATCATCTGCTTTGGTAGTTCCATCAGATATTTCTCATGATTTCTATCAGAGAAGTTCTTCCAGCAGGTGGAATGATGATTCATCCCAAGCTGGAAGTACAATCACTGAATTGACTCAAACGGGTGAATTCCTTAGTCGTTCTGCTGGTGGTTCGAAACTTCTAACAGTGAGCTTCTTCCAATATCTTTCGTATTGGTTATATCATAATTAAAACAGGAAGCTTTTGATGTATTGTTGTTGGCTTGCATGGAGATTACTTTGTCACTTCACAGTTTACCTGGATCATAGAACTTCAAAAAATCAATTCATGAATTCAGGAATATGTTTTTTGGGCAATTTATGTGAATCTAATTTTTTTCCCCAAAATGTATGTAAGAGATTTGTTTATTTCTTTATAATTACGAGTCTCCATTTGAATGTATATCATAGTGGAATCTTTGTGTTTATTTAAACAAATTTCATGTTCAAACTAGTTATTACTGTCTGAATTTCTGCTGTGATATGCCTAGCTTGATGAGCTATACACAGTTACTTGTGTGTCTCCATCATCTTTTGGCAGAGATTTGCTTCTGTTCAACCTTCTTCATGTTTTGTAACCATTATGAGTTAAACATATACATTTGGACACTGTAGGGTGGGATGACAATGTCTGATGAGATGGACCTCCTTGTTGAGCAAGTTAAGATGCTTGCCGGAGAGATTGCATTCAGCACCAGTACCTTGAAGCGCCTGGTGCAGCAGTCTGTAGATGATCCGGAGAGCTCAAAACCCCAGGTACAACTTCATTCTGTGGATGAAGATATATAATTCCTTTTATTGGTGTTTGAATTTAGTTTCAGAGCGTATATAGGGTTTCATAATCTGCTGGACCCTGCAATAAGAACGTAATAATGTAAACTCAATATTACTCTAAGATGTGTCCAAACCATTTTTTCAAGCATAATATGGCAGCTTCCTTTTGTTACATTAAGGGGTGTTCACCCTACCCTACGGGTAGGAAATATAGTCTTTCGTTTTCTTATCCGATATTTTACGGAAGAATTTTTTCTTGGCCTTCCCTACTCGATCAGGTGTGGTATTCCTACTCGACTTCTTACTTGATTAATCGGCTATGAAGTCGGGTAAATATTTTTGTAGTTATTAATTTTTGGATTATATTAATAATTCAATTAAATAACTTACACTAATTTAACAACACAATAAATCAATAACACTAAAATCTAAAACAACTACAATAACCATTATAATAAAACATAAGAAAACATGAATATCAATCCATCATAATTATTACACAAATACAATAACAAAAATGTGGAAATTGATGTCATTAATTAATGCGGGTAGGGTAGGATTAGAATGCAGAAATTGATGGGTATTTCGCATTCCTACTTGATTTAATCGGAAGATTAAAAATTCTTCCGCATTTTTTTACCCGATTTTTGCAGCTAACTGTTCAGTATGGTTGAAAATTGCGACCAATCGAAAATTTGAACACCCCTAGTGACATTGTTGGATAAATGCTTCTTCCTCTATGACGGTGTGAAAACTTGTACTTATCCGCAGACTATTGTTGCCCACCAATGCATGTTTTTTTTGGCATTTCACTTCTTGGGTTATACTTTTTTGTGGTTTAGACTTCTTGCTTTGCATACCAAACATGAGTTTTCATTTTTCTTTGCATGAAAATGATATCCACTTTTTAATTTTTATCCAAATGTCATCAACAACCGTTGGTAATGTTGAGCATCGAAAGCAGATATGCAGTCCCATTTTCCCTCTCATTTTGTCTAATGTAGGACAAAATAAAGATGCATGCATTCTTATGTACAGATTGAAAACTTGGAACGTGAAATCATAGAAAAGAGAAGGCAAATGAGGGTCTTGGAGCAGCGTATTATTGAGAGTGGTGAAGCTTCAATATCTAACGCCTCATTGGTTGAAATGCAGCAGGTAATCTTATTTCCCTTTAACTTCTTTAGGGTGTTTGCCTTATCTAGCTTTGTTATATTATATGCTGTACAAGTCAGAGGCAGTTTTAAAATTTTTGCCAAAACTTTACATTTATGTCATTGTTTCTTCTTTTGCAACAGACTCTGATGAAATTGATGACCCAGTGTAATGAAAAAGGTTTTGAGCTAGAGGTCAGTGCCTCAGTTAATCTGTTTTTGTTAAGTTATTTTAATTAATCTTCCATTTTTGTTCCTTTAGCAAAAAACAAGATGAAACGTTTGCTTTCTGCTGTAGTGTTGAGAATCAGCGTCCAACTATATGGTTCCTTCAGTGTTTTGGTTTCTGTCTGCAGATTAAATCAGCAGACAATCGTATCCTCCAGGAACAGCTGCAGAACAAGGTCAAACAACAGAATTCATCTCTTTAATGTTTTAATTGATACATCTTGCCAGTGCATTTTTCGGTCAACAACTTTTATGCCCAGTTGCTGCTCTATCAGTTTCATATAAAATGCATTGCTTTGTCTCTTCCCTCTTTATATTAAAACCTTGTCACTTCATTGAGATTCTCAGTGTTCTGAGAACAAGGAACTACAAGAGAAAATCAGTCTTCTGCAACGGCAGCTAACTTCAGTTGCTGGTGACAAATCATCACTTTCGACTGAACATTGCGTCTCTGATGAATATTTGGATGAGTTGAGGAAGAAAATTCAGTTTCAGGTGATTGCTAGAACTTTTAAATTATGGCATAATTAATTTTGATTTGGAGCTATTGATGTTTTGGGACAATTTGAATATTATTCTGCCACACATGAATTTGCACTCTTCTCATTGTCTTGACATTGTATCAATCATGTGTGTAAAGCTCTTGGAAGCTTAGAAGTTCTACTTACCTCATTTGTTAGCTAAAATTCTTGTTTGAATCATCTTATGATTGCAAAAATAGCGTGACATTTTATTTTCTCACTCTTCCAGTGTTACGTTCTCTTTGTTTTTTTTGTTGTTTACCCTCTCACGTAAAACAAAATTTAGAGCCTCTTTAACATCTTGTTTATAGTGAGTGCCTCTGTGGTAAATTGAAATTAAGCTATCTTGTACCAGATGGTACTCTGACCATCAGTTGTAGCATTTGTTGCCAGGGACCTTTTTTTGCTCTTCCGAACACTTGCATTAGATTCTTCAACCGTTGCTCATCAACTAGGGGCATGATTTGAAGGGACTTTTTTCATTTGCCTGTCCAACCTAGTATTCTGATATAGTCCGAGCGCCTATAGTTAAGGGAGTCATTGCCTAGTACAACAGTTCTTATGGGTTCAAATCTTAGCAGAGCCACTTTATGCAACAATGCCAAAGTGTAGATTACCTGTTCACCCCTCAGGTACCTCTGGATAGTGTGGCCAAAGTAGGTAATGAGTATTGCCCTAGTGTTAAAAGGGAATAAGTATTAGATTTTTGTGGTGTGACGATGCATGTCTTTTAAAATATGACATAATGGTCCATGTTTTTTCTAATTTGATTTGCATACTGTGCCAAAATGTAGTGGAAAGCAATATACAGAAAATTTATAAACTCAAATGAAGGAAAAAGTTTGATTCATTAGTGTACTTTAATGTATGTTTATACTCAAATGATCAGGAGGTTGAGAATGAGAAAATGAAGCTAGAACATGTGCAAATTCTAGAAGAGAACAGTGGACTACGAGTCCAGAATCAAAAATTGTCAGAAGAAGCTTCTTATGCCAAAGAATTGGCCTCTGCTGCGGCTGTAGAACTGAAGAATTTGGCTGGTGAAGTCACGAAGATCTCGTTACAGAATGCAAAACTAGAAAAAGAGTTATTGACTGCTCGAGAGTTGTTGAATTCTAGAGGTTCTGGTATACAAAATGGTAATGTTGGTAACCGCAAGCATAGTGATGGCTTGAGACCCGGTCGTAAAGGCAGGCTATCTGGCCGAGCCAATGAAGTTTCTGGAATGGTTTATGATGACTTTGACTTGTGGAACCTTCACCCGGAGGATCTGAAAATGGAGCTGCAGGCAAGGAAACAACGTGAGGCGGCCCTTGAAGCTGCCTTGGCTGACAAGGAACTCATGGAAGATGAATACAGGAAAAAGACTGAGGAGGCAAAGAAAAAGGAGGCAGCTTTGGAAAATGACTTAGCAAACATGTGGGTGCTTGTTGCTCAGCTCAAGAAAGAAGGGGAACTGACCTCCAACTCAACTACTAATGAGAGGCATAATAATGGAACTGACCATGCAAATGACCCAAAAGCAGATGTTGACAGCAAGGAATCAATCCTCAAAGAGATGCAAGTTTTGGATGTTACAAAACCTGCTGTTGGCATTCCCAATGAAGAGCCACTAGTTGCTCGTCTGAAGGTAAAGCAAGCATCTTCCCTCCCTCCACCCCCCCCCCTCCCACCCATGAGCACGCGTGTCTTTGTTCGTCTGAATATAAATCTTTTGCCTTTGAGTGCCTGTGTGAATTCACAATGCACATAAAGTGAAACTACCCACATATCTCAATGATTCATATTTTTTCTTGGGCAATTACACTGACCCACCTGAGTTTTGGTGAAATAATACAGAGATCCACAATGACAAGATTTTCAGTGTGATTTTGTAGTATTTTTTTTTTTAAATCTTGTTATGAATGTCTTCAGGCCCGTATGCAAGAGATGAAGGAAAAAGAGCTCAAGCTTATGGGGAATGGAGATGCAAACTCTCATGTATGTAAAGTATGTTTTGAATCAACAACTGCAGCAATGCTTCTTCCTTGCCGGCATTTTTGTTGTAAGTTGCTTGAAACATAGATAGATGCATGTGAACTTTGTTTTCCTTGTGCTTGTCAAACCACGGGCTCTAACATTTGGTTCATATTTTGCAGTGTGCAAGTCTTGTTCTCTTGCGTGTTCCGAGTGTCCAATTTGCCGTACAAAGATTGCAGATAGAATTTTTGTTTTCGCTTCTTGAAGGTAAATAAATCTATGTATTTTACTCTTCATGACTAATAATAATGTATGATGGATGAATATTGAACCAGATGGCTAGCTTCCTTACCATATTACTTTACGAGAAGCGATCTACTATGCAAAATTTTACATTAAAGTAGATTTTTTGTTTCTCATTGAAACACACATTTTCGATAATGTTAGACGATAGTAGTTGGAAAAGTATGATTATGAGTTGATTGTATAGAAACTCTGAATTTCATTCATAAATTAGGTGGATGATTATTTTTAGTATATGAATAATTTTTTTTTTTTTTTTGCAGGGATGTGTGATCATTCACCTGCTTCCTATTTTTGATGTAATACCCAATGCCATTCTTTTATTAGTCAAACTGTATGTAACTGTTCAAAAGGTAAATTGCTGTATTTTCTTTACTTCTATGGGGCTCTTCAATAACAGGGGAAAAGAACAAGAAAAAAAATCCCAGAAGAAAATATAAAAAAGTAATACATTTCAATTTTCCTGCACAGCACGTTGCTTTGTTTATCAAATACTCACCATAACTTCAATTGTAATGTATAGAAAAAACATCTTAAGATTCCATGGGAAGTGTTCTTTCCCACACAAATTTTATTATTTCATCTTTTTTTCACATATTCCTGATTATTTTTCCAGGAAAAAGCGGTGATTTATCCAATCAACATGTTATGACAGACATGTTTTTGGCAAGTTGATTAGAATTTATGTAGTCAACTCCAAATATATTGGGACAAAGTTTTGTTGAGTTAAGTTGGTCAGTTTAATAGTATGCACTTCAGTTTAGTGTTGGCAGACCAACATGTACAATTGGAGACACCCATCATTTTAGTAAAGAATTTTAGAATAAGATAGAGATTACAGATGGGAAAGGGCAAAAAAAGAAGGCAAAAAATAATTTGTGTATTGAATTATAATGTAGATGGTAAATTGAATAAAAGAAATTTATCTTTATTTATTGGGTGAGAAATACATAAGGTAAAAAATAATTTGTGTATCATTGTCATTTTTTTGCCAAATAATTTGGATATCATTAGACATTTTTGGATTTTATTAATATTGATGGATTTATTTTGATCTTATTATGTCTCATATTTATATAATAAAACAGGAGTGTATTTGAATATTATTTCAGTCATATTTTTTTCTTCAAAATTATCACTAATTACTTATCTCACCCATTATTTTTTTGTCAGACTCAATCGTCAAGTTGTATCACTTATTTCTATTATATGTTTAATTATTTATATAATTTTTTTTTAAAAATATCACATCACTCTTTTTTATTATATATTTAATTAATTTGTAATTAATATATTTTAAAAAAAAATTAATATGATGGGATTGATTTTTTGGACGTTCGAATTTTATATTTTATCGTGCCTTCAGGTACGGGTTATGATTAATATATTTATATATATATTTCGAATTTTATATTTTATCGTACTTTCATGCACGGGTTATGACTAATTTAGAAATATGGCGAAACAACTTTGAAAAGCTAAAAAATCATTATTTTTGTTAAGTTAGTAGGTCTCTTGCCATGAATTTTAGTGGGTTTGATTATTAATAAACGGGTGTCATATATGTAATTTATCATGGAGTACAATCGAAAAAAGTATAATGAAAAAGATCTAGATTTCATGAACAATAACAATAAAACATAAATAATTTTCGGGTTTTTTTAAGGGTGGGTGCTTCTTTGGAGATTGTAAGCATGGATGAAATTTTTGTGTGAAATTCATGGACATTGTTCAAAAAGACTTGCAATTTTACCCAAGCAATAAGTAAAAAAACTTGTACATCAATCCACCCCGGCCTAAAAGAGCCGCAGAGCAAAAGTGATTATATGTACAAGTGCTAATAACTAACACCAAACAGACCTTCGCTTATATTTCTACAAAAAAACTGTCAACGTTTCTTGCGAGGTAATGGGAAGATGACGATAAAGGTAGAGCTTGAGATAACCAAATGCCAAAATCTTCTGACCAAAACAATCCCAAAGTGCTTTTGAAATCTTGATCCGCAAACGGAAACAACAAATCATGAAGAGTCTGCAATAAAATCCGAAAGATCATCAAGAACAGTAATGTCATTTAGACGTAATTTATTATATTAGTGAAAAACCTACTTAGATATAATCAATTGCACTTAAACATATCATCGGCCAATTATCGTTGATGAAATCTATATTGTAAGAAATTTGAATATTACATAGATAAAGTTATAGTGACCTTAAAATAACGCGAGTTTTACTCTACCTGATATTAAAATTTACTATTAATCTGAATACAATAATAAATTAAGTCAATAAGTTTGATTACGTACATATTGAGTAAAATTACTTAGACAAAAAAGTGGTTCCTATGCATAAAAGTATTAATGTATGTGTTAGACTAAAGTACTAAAATAAATATTTTGCAGGAAGTTAAGAAAATAGGGACTCCTACCCCTTAGTTGGGATCAAGTTACGATTCTAAACGATCAGTTACAAATTATTGCAACCAAATTATGACTCAAAAAACTGATACATATTAATATAGTGGTAATAATATTTTTAATCTTTAAAATATGTTTTTTTATTAATTTAGTCCTGATCGTATCAATTTTTTTAATTTGGTTTCTAAAGTATTCAATCCGTGTCACTTTTGTTTCTAATCAGACAATTTTTTAAATTTTTTGATGGAAGTGACTATGTGTCATTTTTTTAGACGGTATTATATGTTCAACACGTAATCATATAACAATACGAATTGAATATTTTAAGAATTAAATTAATATGACGAGGGGTAAACTGACAAAAAATACTGACGATAAAACATGCTATTACCATTAATATAATATGGTTCATATGAAAAAAGATTATGTTTTGTGGTAATCTCATCCTTATATTTCATATTCAATTTTTGCATTTTTGGTACACTAATCTTCCCTATTTTGTTAGGTTGGGTGTACTGCAAAACCTTACAGAAGCCATGGAAGGGTGAAGAAGACGAAGGATCAAGAAAATCTTCAATGTGCCATCCAGGCAAAGTCTCCATCAAGTACTCTGATATGCTGCTAGTTGCCATTGAAGCACCCTCTTGGTTTAAGCTTACACCGCCATTGTCATCAATCTCGTAAGGTCTTGCTGTGGTGACCACTGAGCTTTTGACCTCAGTTTCAGTTTCATTATGCCCAGCATTAGATGAAGATCCATTGGATGACAATGATGATGATGAGTACAAGGAAGAAGAAGGAGAGAGTTCAGCCCCAGTAAGAAGAAACCTATTGTGCTTCTGGGTATGTTCGTTAGCTTTGTGTATTGAAATGTCACATTCTCTGCAAAGAATTGCTCGATCCTCTTTACAAAAAAGAAAAGCACGCTTGTCCTGTAAACAATAGAGCAACATGGAATTAATAAACAAAATTTATAAGTTTTTCGACTTTATTCCATCTATATCGTACTATAATTTATGAAAGTGTGGTTTGAACTTACGTTTATCAACATAAATTTATGTTTTGAAAAATCGTTTGGCATTGAAAAATGTAAGTTCAGATCAGATTTTTACTTAAAACAAAGATAAATTAAGAAATAAGTTAACAAAATGAAGTCATAAAAGAATGGTGCATGCCATTGCCAAATTTATAGTGGAAAGTTTGACGACCTGGCAGATATCACAGCGTGGGGAGTCTTTGATGGAAGAGTGGAGGAGAGAGAAACGGGGGTGTTTGCTGGCAAGCTTGTTGGCGTGGTGGACTTGGTGGTCACAGCCGCCGCAGAGGGCGGCTTCGTCGGCGGAGCAGAAGACTGAAGCTTCTTCTTTCTCGCAGACATCACACTTGATTTTCATTCTCTCTTCCTATATGATTATTCTCTCTCTCTCTCTCTCTCTCTGCGACTGAGTGTATTGTACTTGACTTGTGACTCTTGAGGGATATAAAGAGATGGTTTGGTACAAGTTAATTGGGAAAGAGACGAACAGTTATGGGCATTTGGGTAGGAAGTGAAGGCGCATCTAATCTAAAATGTCAGGGGTCTTTAACTCTTTGCTACTGGTCAGTGGGAAAGATCTGGAGAGAAGCTTTGTCTCTTTCTCTCTCGAATTTCTCTACGATGGATGGATGTATAAAGACAAGGGGCTTCAGGGGGCTATGTCTATTCTATCTTAGAAGTTTTAGGGGTTATTTATAATATAAAACGTGACAATTTTTAATAAATTCATTTAACGATTATTAACATTCTCTCCAAATCATTCATATTATACTGTGTCTTTAAGCACCGATTAACCCTAATATATATATATATATATATATATATATATATATATCACAAAGCTGTCACTCTCAATATTGAACTTCTGAATATATAGGAGGCATAGTCTTATGGGACATGAGGTTTTTCTCAGCTCATTTATTGATCCGTGCATTAAACTTTGAATAGGATATATGTGAACACCTATATGTTATCCTCTCCGATGCAGTTTTACCCAAACAGAAATTTTAAATGGTAATAAGAACAAATCCTAAGTTTAGGCGTTTTGACTTTAAAATTTGGCAATTTCTTAAAATCAAGTAATCAATGATTTATCCCTCGCAAATACTCTAATTTTAATGTGGATAACCTATCTTTAATTGGACTGGAGAAGAGATTAATCGAGGTATGTGTAAAATGGCTTGGACATCTCTGACCGTTGAACCAAGAGAAATAAGGTGGGGGCTAGAAATATTGGATGTAACGGTGACACTAGATCATCAATGTTATATATTAATACGATTGGGACATAATTGAATGATATAACGAGTTGTCACCAATAAAATGATAGTAAAATATATTTAATGATGAGTTTCATTGTAGCACTAATGAATTTATTATTATATTATTGGTGACAACTTATTATGTTCTTAAATTATGTTTCAATAACATTGTTCAATGCGATCAACTTGTGATAGAATACCAAATACACTTGGTAGACTCCTTTGTTTTACCAACACTAATAACTATCTCTGTCATATTAGAATAGTGAGTTCATCAATTATATTTATTATTTTATAATTGATTAGTGATATCATATAACATTAATAACACGATGCAACCGTTACACCCGATATTTACTTCAATTTATGGGGGACCAGAGGAGGTTGCTTTCGGTACCCTTTTCAATCATTCATTTGTAGGTTGGAGTTGGAAGTTGGAGCTTTTACCTGCCAGTTGTATTCAATTTGGAGATCTGCATTGTGTTCATTATTCATTATTAATGGGAGTAAATTTTGTTTAATATTGAAGTTAATTATTAATTATGTAATAACAATTTTAATGTATTAAGTCTAAAATTAAATTCCTCAATGACATTTTTCTTTTGAGAGTTGAGAATGTTGGTTCAATATAGAGGGATCTAATAATATGCTTTTATAGAATTTCAAATATAGGATAATCATTTCCACAATTCTACTTTCGATAAAAAAAAAAATTGTTGGTTCAACGATTAGGGGTGTCCGAATCAGTTTATATATCCTTTGATTAATTCTCTTCCCAGTTTGATTAAAGAGAGACTATTCACGCCGAGACTAAGGTATTTATGAGAGATAAATTTTTCGTGACATCCCAAAGAGTTCTCAAGATTCAAAATTCTGGACATCGTAATTTATAATCTGTCTCTATTATCACTTGAATTACCCTTCAAATTTAATAAAAAATAAAATGTGCAAAAAAATATATAAAATTTATTAAATAATAGATCAACACGAATTTACTTAAATTTAATTCAAACTTAATTAAACACGACACAAAACCGGGTAAATCGAAGTTATACAAAACACAAAGTCGACAACACATGCCTATAAATCATACGTAAATGTAAAAAAATTTTGATACAACATAGTTCATGTGATTAATTTAAAAATAAAACATGGACAATCTTACAAATAATAAAACAGTTAGGGTTTCACGTTTAATAACACTACTTTTAATAATATTAGAGGTTGTTGAGATATTACTCAGCTGTCATATCCTAGACAAACTATCTTTCAACTTTCAACAACAAAGTTCTTTGTTTTATTCATTCTAAAATCAATAGTCATTGTTCCTTGAAGCTCAAATCGAAAAGCTTTTGAAATTAATGAGTCTTAGTTTGGTCAAATCAAGGTTGTTGATACATTGGGACTGCAAACTCTTTTTGAATGCAAATTCACAGTTTAAACCTTGTTTAAGCCCCCACTCTTTGTTATCTCGTGCCAAAGTTTATCAAATTAAAAGTAACTATTTATTCCAACCAAAATATTATTTGGATGGATTAATTAATGATTTAATAGGGTCCATTAGAATCGTTCTTAAAATTTAGACCAGTCCCAGATCGATCATTACATGTTAAAATTCGTTTTAGTTTCTCTAAATTTCAAAAAAAAATAACTTTAACTTCATTGAACCGCAATATTTTTACAAAAAATTCGATATAGCAACCAAAGTTGGGTAACATAAAGATTTCGGCACGTTGCATTGTCAACTTTAATTTTTCTGGGAGGTTCGACGTCCCATAACAAACGAAGTTTCAAAGAAACTAGGAAAGGAAGCAGCTGGTAACTTGTAATAAATAAATAGTTTTTTTTGTTCAGAATAAATAAATAGTTGAGAATAGAGAAATGCGGTTCCCAAGCACAACATGACAAATAACACTTTTCCAATAGGGGGTGTGGATGAAAATACAATAAATTGTCTTTGGAACCCTAAACTATACCATGAGTTTCCATTCAATCCTTACATTATAGTTTCTATCAATTGAACTATTCAACATATGAATTTGAGTCTTGGGTTAGTTTTACTATGACAATAACATATGTGCCCTTCATGTTATTGCTCTTTTAAGCATATTTTAAACAAATTATAAATAATTGGGTACATTGCACTAATGGTATATGAAGTTTACCATTCATTGATCCTTAAAATTTTAATTTCATCAATTCTTCTTCTAAGTTTAAATATTGAGCCAATGTGACCCTTGAGGCTAACTATTGTTAGGGAAAAAAAAAGGGGAAAATACCATGTGCATGTCTTGTACATGTAGATTTATATGTACATATAAGGTATTTTATAGCAATTAATGTATCTAAATACAATTGATCTTTAATTGTATACATTAAACATGACATCAAGCATCCATCTTCTTCTTCCTTTTTTTTTTTTCCACTTTTCTCTCTCACACACACACACAGGTAATATCCTCCTTTCTCCCCCTAATTCGTCTATGCACATCACACTACCTCAAACCCACAAATTGGTATCCCTCAAACTCACATTTCTATCTAGTTCTTGTGTGTCCCATCCTCAAACCCAACACATCCATCCCTCTCAAACCCACAATATACATGCACAATACAATCTCACAAATGCACATGCACACAAATACCTAACTTGATTTTTTAAGACCTCTATGTGCAATCAAGCCCCAATAATCACATCACCCCACAATTGCTCACCAATCAAGCTACCCCTAGAATTAGATTGATGAATAGTTATCAAATTGTGGTATGAAATTGGTGCGAGTAATTTGATACTGAGTTTGATATCATTATGGTGGTGGTTTGGGTGTGCGAGTACAGGTGGTGGTAGGCATATATAGGTATCAGAGAAGAAGTGGTGACTGTGTTACTGCTGATGGTTGACACCTAATAAAGGGTGGCCAATAGTTTCTTGGAAGTGTGTTTGTGAACAAACGAAGATAACCGTTGTTGGCACTTCATGGGAATCGACAATTTGGTATTTAAATACCCCCATAGGTAGGCACCAAGTGGGTGACAAATAAAATCTTATGGAATTGAATGAAAGGTCCAATGCATTAAATTAAAACCTTAAAGGACATAATTGATACAAAATGTAATTTAAGGACTATTAAAATCCAATGCATACTTTAGGGACTTCATACTAAGTATTTTAAAAAAGGAAGAAAGCATTAATAAAAAAATCTATAACCTATAATATAAAAGAGGGCGACTTCAACAAGTTCATCCAACGGTCAAGAAATTACTTTTTTTTTTTCCTTAATATTTCCCCCCAACCGGTCAACAATTATGATTGATCGTGGAACACATCCTATGATTTCAAATTCATTCATTTAACGGTCCAAAAATTATAATTTTTTTCCTTAATATTTTCTCCCCAACTGGTCAACGATTACAACTGATCTTGAAACACATGAATTTCTTTGATATAATAATTAAATGGGTCAAATTTTCCATTTATATCACCTGTGTAGTACAACATTTTGAATTTTTATAAGACATAATGATAACATTTTGATTAAAAAAACTCATCAATTTAACAGATAAAAAAAACAAGAGCGTTGCTTACACATTTATATTGAATATAACGAATTTTAATTTTATTTATTTAATTAATTATCTTAAATTAATATGTCTTACACATATCTTGAATTAAAAGTTCAAGACTAATCTCTTAACAAAACCCAATGCTAATATATTCTTATAAATTAATAATTTTGTAATATCTTGTACTAATTAAAAAAATAATATTTTATAAATGATATTTATAGAACTTTTTTTGATAAAAAATATTTTGGTGATATATTTTTTGATAAATTAGATTTTTAGTTTATATTAAATTTGACTTGATTTTGATTACATGTATATAAATTAATTCTTTTTTTAAGTTAATTATATCATATTTCGTGGATCTATAATATAAAATAAGAAAAACTTCAACTAAACTATTCATAAGTGAATTTTACCTTCATCTTCGACGGTTTCAAATAAACTCATCTTACAGTCACTAACATCTCTCTCAAAATTATTCATATTGAATTTTACCTTTATCTTTTCACTCTT